GTCAACAGCTATTAAACAAATTGGCTAGTCAGCATCTAGTTCAATCAAAATTAATGGTCACCTGAAATGATATTTGTTGCAGAAAGTAAGCATTTCTCCCTTTACTTGAACTAAAATCTTTTCTTGTATTCAGATGTTATGATGACACAGGCATACATTTCACTCTTTACTTCCTCTTTCCTTCCATGCAGCAGCAGAGGAAGTGCTAAATATGCCAATATTGTGTTGCCTTTGTTTACCATTTTTAAGTGTGGTATATGTTTGATCCTTTTCTGTATTTGTATATTTACTGTTTTTAGATTTAAATATTGTATTTTAATCATGTAAGCTTCCTTGGGTCCTTTCAATGGGAAAAGGCGGGGTAAAAATATCTGAAATTTAAATATCTTAAGACACTTCACAAGATGGTTAAACATGTAAACAAGTGTTCAGTTGGAAAAATGGGAAGGGAGGTAATTTCTATCAAATTTCTCTCCCCTGGCAGCCCCTCCTAGAGTTCAGTATCCTTCAGTACAGCAGACGACATGGTGCTGTTGGCTAGAGATGGAACTTCTGGGAAAAATAAAATTCCAGTCCCATAATTTGGCAGAAACTCTATAAAACAGCAGGATGTAGAGCAGCCCTCTTACCTCTATGCTGTTTCCTATTCCCCTTCTTTGCACTCTTTGCAAAGCACCCTGGTGTACCTTTGTGAGTTGCAAGGGTTCCCACAGCAATCAAGGATGCATGGAGGAATGAGTCCTGACAGAGGCTGCCTCCATAAAGAGTCTGTGGTGACAGCTTTCATTAGAACTTACTTGTTTGTTTGTTTGTCATCACCTTTCAGTATAAGTTACCCTTCTAAGGCAGTTTAACAGTAGTTAGTAAAAGATTATATTAATATGTGAGGGAATTGGATATGGCAATTAGATATGGCTAGAGATGGGACTTTTGGCTAATTACAGGATAATTAGTACAACTTGCAACTTGCTAAAGATTAATTAATAGTAGATCAACATCAATGGTATGTTCAACACTGTTGTTGTTTTTAAAAAATATCCAGAGTCTGTTTCCAATCCTGATTATGGGTCTTTGACTATACTTTAGATTTTCATAACTTTAGTGATGCTACAATAATTACAGCACACACTGAATTTTGTAGAAAAAAGCATAAATTATTGCATTTTGCAGCTACAAGAGTGGTCATTTCATTTACAGCATGTGGGTGTGCTATTGTCCCACACAGCAAACAAAAAATCCCTCCCTACCAGTGTGTGATAAAAATTAGACCCCAAACCATTCACTGTAAAGGTAACCCACTAACATCTTTTGTACTGTACACAAGCATCTAGTTTCAGGGATGTAACCATATTATTTGTTTGTCTTACAAACTGGTAGATTGGGTTGGGTGGTTACGACCCTCCAGAGGTTGTCGATTTCAGCCCTCATAACATGTGGAGGACCTATTATGTGTGAGTTTACATGTTTTTCCCAGGATTAGAGTGGAAAACTATTTGCCTTTTCTCTTTGTACAAAATACCACACCATTCTCAAATTCTCTGTTTTCATAGCCAACTGTAATCTCATTTCTCTGCACCTTAATTTGCCCCTTTGTTTTTTTTCCTTTCCCCCACCACCATCTTTGGCATGTTTCCTGGGTTTTTCTGTTTGTTTCAGAGAGCTAAGTATGTTGATACAGTCTCTTTTTGCTTGTTTTGCAGCACTCGCATTTCATATGCAGGTAACTTTCCTGCAAGTTAAATTTCAACAAGGCTTATTACTAAAACTGTAGAGTTGTACAGATTTATAACTCTTAGGATAATTTTGCTTCTTTCCTGGCCCCTCCTCCCCATCTCCTTGAGGACTATATTATCTAACATCCAGTGCTCCAGCTCAATTGAGTACAAATAGTATAACATCTGTATGTACCCCCAGCAAACTTAGTGTGGATCTGAATGGGTTTCTGGCTGTTAATTTCCTTTTCTTTCTTGTTGTCATATAGCAAATTATTTCCATGCCTTTTTAGAAGACGTTTATTTAGGACTATACCAACAAATTTCAGAGAGGAAGGCAGGTTAATGTATTGCTGCAAAAGGTAGCACCAGAAGGCACCATCTTCTACCTTAAACAGAAACAAATCCAGCCTTTCGTAGAACAGGAACTGCACATCTTACAACAGTATGGTTCTTGATTTCTGAATATTATCCTATTTTGTGCCCCATTCCCCACAGAGAGAAGCCAATCATGGTGTCAGGAGTAGTGGTCCAATTATCTCACCTTGTGTCACAACATTGTCTTTAAGAAGTTGTACAATGAGAACAATCATTATATTCTTCTGAAATGATCCTACAGACTTGACAAGGATCATGCTTGGCTTCAAAGTCTGGGAATATATTTAAGCCTTGTGAGGAGGAAGGATTATAGCCCTGTGCTGTATAAGAAAACAAGACTCAGGATCTCAATCTGTTTAGTTTATTTATTCATCACATCCCTCATCTAGAATCACTTTTTTCAAATTCTCAAAAAATAAATTACTGTAACTAGATTAATCTATTTATGTACACTCACATGCAAAGGTGTTCTTGTAAATATAGCATTCACTACTATATAGTTATACAGGATAACAAAATAAAAGCCATGCTGGTTGCCACAAATGGCATAACTTTAAAAGCAAGTAACTGGATAATGTTTATGCATGTGGAAGATTCAATATAAGTACTTGCTTTCTGCTATGTTTTTTTAATTCCATTCTAAAGCAGTTTTTGAAAATGCGATATGTTATATTACATACATCAATATTTCACATGAAATTATTTTTAATTGTATGCTACATGTATCAATCATGGAAATATTTTTCTACAGCTTGGTGAAGTGCTTTCACATTTTCAAAACAGCTTGCAGCATCGTACTGCATCCTACCTACAACGTGGGGCAGATACTACTTAAAAAGAAATTGACATCCTTGTATAGATATTTTGGTGACAGTCTTTAAAATAACCGGAACCAGTCATGGTAAAGCAGATGTAAAATTATTATTATCTGCAAATAGAAAACAAAGACTAGAATATTGTGATTGGAGAGCATTTTCTAACCTGGCATGCTTATATCACTTAGCTAGCATGTAGAGCAGTGGTTCCCAACCTTGGGTAATCTAGGTGTTCTTGGACTGCAGTTCCCAGAATCCTTCATTGCCAGTGGTGCTGGCTGGGGTGTCTGGAAATTGGAAGTCTAATAACACCTGGGTTACCAATAACACAGTGTTTGGGAACCACTGTTGTAGAGCAGGGATCTCCAACCTTGGGCCTCCAGATGTTCTTGGACTTCAGCTCCCAGAAATCCTGGCCAGCAGAGGTGGTGGTGAAGGCTTCTGGGAGTTGTAGTCCAAGAACATCTGGAGGCCCAAGGTTGGGGACCACTGTTGTAGAGGATTGCAGCTTCAGTGCCCAAATACATATTCCTTTAAATCAATGAGAGGCAGCTGTATTTCTCTGACTGTTACGGAACTGCAGCTCTAGATACCCTTAGTTACCATGCTCATTGGTAAAATAAGGTATTTTTAATTTAAAAAACAGTTGCTGAGCCTTACATTAAATGTGTTGTTTGATATATTTGGTTGCTTTGAGATCAGAGTTTTGTTCTTTAATAAAAGCCAAGTGTGTGAGAAGTAGCTGAATCACAAACTGCACAGGAATCAATATTTCATCTAGCCCCTAAGTGATATAAGCATGCCATATTTTACAAAACAGCTGGATAGCTGAGTTGGTGAGGTATCTGGCTGTGGAGCCAGAAGTTGGGAGATGGATTCCCCACTGTGTCTCCTGTGAGTAGACCCAGCTTCTGTGACCTTTGGCAAGCTGCACTGCCCCAGGATTCCCCAAGAAGAAGGGAATTGTAAACCACTTCTGAGTATATGTTGGACAATTCTTTATCTGGAAACCACTGAAACAAGAAGAACATATGTCAGAATTGAATTTTAGAACTCTTTGGAAATAGACAACTGTGGGTATCCGTCTGCTGCTGATATATCATATTGATCAACATTCATTTGTCTCAACATTAGTATTACAAGGATATACAAACCCCCCACGACAAATTTCATACATTTTACAATTTAAATTGTTCCTAAAATTCTTCAGATTGTTATGGGATTAACCTGTTGAGGACAGGACAGTTTGGAGATCACTCATTCATAGGGTCACTACTATTTTTTTAATTGAAACATAGCCACCTTATGTTTACAGTGATGTTTATTTTAATAAAAATAGTAAAAGCCATAATTAGATGGTTTTCTTTGCTTAATATATATTTAAAAGGCATTGTTCCAGTATAAAGAGGCTGTGGTAAGAAAAGCGCCACTGTGGGGCCCCATGTAGTCCCTAATCTTGTTTCTAAGGTTCCTGGCACCAGATTCTACAATACACTTACTATAAAAATAATGATTTCTCCAACAGAAGAAAAGTTTAATTACACCTCCTAGAAGCCTCCAGAAGCATGGATTCATCTTTAAATTGGATTCACTTCTAAATTGCCCAGAAGCCTATCCTTACACCAAACCCACACACTTTGTTTAATGCCACAGAATTTTCATTTTTCAGAACTGGATGTGGACTTCCAGGCATTTCTAGGTTTGCTTTTCAGGTTGGTTTTTTTTTTTTGTTTGCATTTTTGGCAGTTTATGCAAGTCTGCAAGTCCCAAAAGGTCCAGGGAGTGGGAATGGACCCTATCCCTGGTGTAGACCGGAATGCATAAGCTGTACAAGCATGGGAACACTTTGCTTGTTTTATTGGCTCTGGAGAGAACCCTTATGCAACAAATGCATTAGAAGGACATGTCATCTTGATAAAAAAAGGAGAAAACATTACAGAAGTTTGAGAAAGAGCAAGAAGTTATATAACACTAATAACAAAATCAAAAATCAATTTCTGAGGAAAAACAAAGGTAATGAGTAGACGTAAACAATTTTAATGCTAGAAAAAATTGTTGATAAAGTCTGTAACACAATTGTGATGTTAAGCTGTCCTTAAACAACAACAGCCTGAAGGAGCCGGAAGCATAACATCAGATCAAATGGAATTGGGGGTTTGATTTCATTGCCATCTAGACGGAGATAACGGAGTGCTGGCACATTTCTCTCATAGACATAATCCCCTGCGATAGGAACTGGACACATCTGAGTTCCATTCACATCTAAAAATAAAAGCAAACAGGTATATCAGAAACGCTATTGATAGAATTACCCTCATGCCAACTTTGTAAAAAGTTATCTCTTTCAGATGAATTTTCAGATATTTGAATGTGAATGCAGGCCTTATTAAGGAACCATGGGCGCATAGTTCATTATCTGTGTTGTCTTTTCCCTCATGTAAGATGACAGAGTAAATTAAGAGGCTGCTGCTACTTAACCATCGGGTGATAGCTGGAGCCTCATCATAGTTGGCAATGCCTTTGTCATCATTACTTAAACTTACAAATGCTGTAAAAATTAATTAAACATAAGGGGTTTTAAAAAAAATTGTACAGCTGAACCTTAATGTATAATACATTTCCAATAAAAAGTGAAGAAATGTACATCTATACATTGGCCAGAACCCCATTACATATTTATGTTGGTGCAAAACCAAAAAAAATATGTAAATCCCTGTGGCAAAATGCTTCGAGTTAAGGTTCTTTTGTCACACAGCACTCACCTGAGTTGGTGCATGATGAGAATATCTAATTTTAACTAGTTGACATTTGCAACAACTATTTATCCCACTTGACCTATGCTGGTGAACAACATAAATAATAACACCCTGACTATTCTGTAGGAATTGACTTCTAACTCTATAAGCACCCTGAATTCACATTAATGGAAATGCCTGCTGAATGTTTAAGATTTCTGGTTCCTCCTCAGGTATTGCACCTTTATGTTTAATACAGCCATTATTGCTTGAAATCCTATTTGTGAAACAATTCTTATTGAAGGCTGACAATGTCATCAGTGAGGGTACTATTTCAGAAATCAGCTGAGTTCCCGGTTGTCAAGCCAGGGGTCAGATCCCTGCTGTGACTTCCATGAGAAGAACCAGCCTTGGGTAAGCTGCAGAGTTCCAAAGCACCATCAGAAGAAGGGAATGGAAAGCCACTTCTAAGTACAGTGGTACCTTGCTAGATGACGACCCCACTAAACGTCGAATCCACATAACGATGACTTTTTGCAATTGCTATTGCGATTCGCAAAACAGTCATTCCAATGGGCTATTTTCACTTGACGACGATTTAGTCCGCGCTTCGCGAACCGCAAAATGGCTGCCCTATGTTTTCCGGACCCATGCTTCGCAGGGCAGCCATTTTTACAGCTGATCGGCACTCGCAAAATGGCTTTCCTATGGGCCATCTTCACTGGAGGATGAGGTATTTTCCCCATTGGAACATATTAAACAGGTTTCAATGCATTCCAATAAGGATTTGCTTTTCGCGGGTGATTTTGCTAAACAGCGATTTCAATGGAACAGATTATTGTTGTCATGCGGGGCACCACTGTACTCTATACTCAGAAAACCCTGGAAAGGTTAGAACTAGAGATGGGGACAACTCACCATTTAGAACTATAGATGGGGATGACTCACAACTTTTGATGACTCACGAAGAATGAAGTTGCCCCCATGAAGCGAGGAATAACAAAGTCATTTGTTGATTCATGGGAAGGTTATTAAACAAATCAACACCCCTTGCTGCCACGGCCCCCACTGCCACCTCCGCTGCCAACCCCCCACAGTCTACCCCCCACGCCTTTCTCTCCCTACCTTAGCCCCCAACCCCACCAATACCCCTTTACCGTAATCGCCACCAGCACCAAGGTCTCCATCTGGCCTCCCAGCCACAGTGTGTAAAAAAGGGAGACTGGCTGCCCTTTGCAAAGATGGAAGCTGCAACTTCATTTAGGTTAGGGAAGCTGCAGCTGCCATCTTTGCAAAGGGTAGCCTGCCTTAAGGGAAGCCAGGCTCCCTTTTTACATGTTGTGGCTGAGAAGCCAGATTGAGACCTCAGTGGTGATTATGGTAAGGGGTGTTGGTGGGGGTGGAAGAGCTAAGGTAGGGAGAGGAAGGGGTGGGGGCTAGACTGTGGGGGTGGCTGTCTGTGGAGTTGAGTGGCTGCCTATTTTTTTAATACGAAGGACAAATAAAAACGGGTAAATACTCATCCCTTCATATTCATGGGGGGTCTCTGGAACCCATGAATATGAAGGGACAACTATTTAACAAATCAGCTATTTTTGTTGAAAAAGCCGATTCGTTTTTATATTCATCCCCATCTCTAGTTAGAACTGAATTGATGGCATATAATTATCATGATTACCTTAAAAAACCATTGATGTAGAATTTCACTAAGTTTTTTGGGAGACAGTGAGGAATGCTTGGCACTGCAGTTCAACTGTAGTCATAAGGGCCACAATTTGTACACTTCTCTTGTAGGAAAACTGAGCCTTTTAAACTGCTGGACTACACCATCATGGATTCTCATAACTTTTTTTTGTCTGTACTCAGGTAACAAATTTGTGTTTTTCAGAAACCTTAATTGTCTCTTTCCATTCGCCCCCCCCCCACAAACACTTCCTTTGCTCATTAATATTCATATCAGCCACTCACTTTTACGTAAGAAAGTAAACAGATTTCACTGTTTAGCTGGGATATAAACCTGTTTTTCTATTTCTAGGCAGTCTTTATTCCTCACTAACAACACTCAGTAGGACACACAGATGGACAAAGTTCTTTGCTGGGTCTCTATAATCAGTCTTGACACATGACCTGTCAAATAGGCAGTTGGTACTACTAAACAAAATTCTGAACTTCCCATCTCAGAATTTATATTTTGGTAGGAAAGCATCAATATTTCTGAACCACAGATTTAATAAGATTTAGTAAGAGTGATTTAATAAGAATGGGTCTGGTTTTCCAGTTGTTCTGATACTAGTTTTATGTATACCAGAGTATTAAAAAGACACAACACTTTGCTTTGTCCCATAGTTTCTGTTGATTGCAACACAATCCTATGCATTTAACTCAAAACTAAATCCAGCTAGGTGGATTGAGATGTTAATGTAATAAACAGGGCAAATAGACAAGATTACTGTAAAAGCTTTTGGCTTAGATTTTAGATATGCACTTACTGTCAATCTTGTTGTTATCGAGATGAAGGTGTTCAAGGTGAACACTGATAGCAGGGATTCTGGTGAGTGCATTGTAAGATAGCTGAAGGACAAGAAGAGATGAAATATTAAAGACGTTCATTGGCAGACCTTCATCAGTTAATTTATTGTTGTTCAATCGAAGGAAAACCAGTTTGAGCATTGCATCAAAGTAATTTGCTGGTATGGCTTCAATAGAATTATTGTCCAAATACAGTTGCACGACATTATTTGGAAGGGCTGGTGGCATTTTAGTGAGTGAATTCTGAGCGATATTGAGTTGCATGAGACTGTTGAGTCCCTGGAAGGTATTACTTGAGAGAGTGCTGTCCAGCAGCGTGTTTTGATGTAGATCTAACACAGTGAGGTTTTCCAAATTGCTGAAAGCTCCTTCAGGGATTGTAGTGATTTTGTTCCTTGCTAAACGCAGCTGCTCTAAGCTTGCTGGCAGTGGAGCAGGCACTTCTTCTAATTCATTGTCTTCAAGAAACAAGTAAAGTAGATTTTTCATGTTGCTGAACACACCTTTTTCAATGCCATTGCTTGTGATTTTGTTCTTGTTCAGATTTATCCATTTTAATTGAGTGGCATTCATAAAGGATTTCCCTGTAACAGTTCCAATGTGATTATTTTGCAGATAGAGATACCATATCCTTGCTGGGATGGCAGGTATTTCTTTAAGTTCCTTGCTGTCACAGTATAAAGCATTTGGGAAGCTAGGTGGACAAAAACATTCTTGTGGACACTCAAAGCTGTAGAGAGACCAATCATATGGATCAAGTTCATCATCCATTAATCTGATATTTTGGGTTGACACAGTGTGGGTCAAGAAGACTACCAAAAGGTTGGAACAGAGTTTTACATTCATCATTTACCTTAGAAAGAGAAGGAAAATAGTTTTTAAAACCATACATCTTCATGACATTGTTACCTAAAAGCAAGGACTCTATTTATCTATAGAATCTGGAGTTGTTATCTTTGTACAGGTGAAACTCTGTTTTACATTGTGTCATAGGTATTTTCCTGAAGAAAAAGGGTCACATTGTGATGTACAGAGGGAACTGTATGTTGTAACCACCAAACACTTTATACCTCTGTCTGGATTATAAAAAGGTCAGACTTGAGGGATGTGTGCACATTCAGTTCTCATTTAAAAGAAGCTTGATAGTTTGCTTCACTTACTGATCATTTAGTTCAATAACACTTTAAGCCATCATATTTCCTAGCATGGCAACCCTGTATTTCCTCAGACAGAGGAGGACTGAAACATATGAGCACTGACATAATTACTTTCATTGACAGTGAGCCAGGTAACGTTTCATCCTTCTTTAAGGAACTCACATATTCTTTTGTATTCCTAGATGAGAATGGCATCTGGATTAAATTTTCTAGGCCCTGACTTCATCACACATAAGAAGAGGATCAAAGTATATTATAACAGCTGCTTGCTGGGCATGTTCCCCAGAAGTCTGGAGAAATCTGTTTCAAAAAGCTGTCTCTTTCCTTCAATCTCTCTCCTGTGCCCCAAATTACTGGCTTTCTCCTAAAAAGCATAAATTACTTACCAAACAAACTCTGCCTAGAACTGCTTGACACATACTTAGATTTCTTTGTTACTTACCAAACAAACTCTGCCTAGAACTTTACTTTTACTGCTTGTCACATACTTAGATTTCTTTGTCCAAATCCATTCTTAAACTATCCACACTGGAGGTAACTTTTTCCATCGCTATATGTTCAGAAAGCTAAAATGCAAGCCAAGTTCCTATATTACAGTAATTTTGTACGGTACAGTAACAGTACATCCCAAATTATAATGTTCCTCTTGGTTGATAGAAGTGAATTGATACATTCCATTTCAAAAGCAAGGGGAGAATAACCCAGCTGCAGCAGCCTACATCTAAGTGCCACACAGAAAAGAGTTTTGGTTTGAAGGGTGGGGTGAATACAAAAATGAAATTAAAGCCTAGATTCATAAGGATCACCAAAGTGAAAACCAATATATTGTATTATTTACTTTCAAAAGGCTCTTCTGCTCTAGAGCTGCTCTAAAACATCACATCCAATAGCTCAATAGCCTTTGAAGCTAATGGATAATAGTCCACCACCTTGCTGAGTAATGCTTGAAGTAATGGGGGGGCTAAACAACATCTCTTTTTCTTACATGTCTATAAATATCTCATTCTCAACATTCATATTGTGAATAGTGATTAAAGTATTTTACCTTAGACAGGTTAAGTAGTGATTTCTGAAGGCTGTTGCAAAGCCATTGAAGTGCAACAATCTTTGTTTCCTTTCAACATCTTAAAGCCCAAATTCTTGAGAATGTATGGGATAAAACTCTAAAATATTCAGCAATAATCCCAAGAAACAATACCCAAGATAAATATTGTCCTATTTTTCTAATTTGACAGTGCTTCAGAATCTCGCTTACCTCGGCTTTCTTGGATTTTCTTCTGTTCTTCCTATTGGTCACTGTTGTGAGAGTGTAAGAGGTTGACTCAGGCACCACACAGCCCTTCACAAATACAGCCTAATATATACTCATCATCGACTACACGGTTAACCCCTAAAATAGCTATGCACCTCAGGACCCCTGCACACTAAAATACAGGAAATCCTGGATTTCACATCAAGCAGCTACAAACTCTTAAGTTCATTCCCAGAGATCTAAGTTTTGATTTTAAAGTAATAAACTTATGGAACTAGAAATCAGATGGCATTAATATATCTGTAATCAAATATTAATAAGTCATTTTCAAGCTATCTAAATTAAGGAACAAAGACAAAACTAATGCCATCTGTTCCTACAGAAGCCTTTTATTTGATTCTGATAAAAAACAGATGCAAGAAAGCTTTTAAACATGAATCTCTTGATTAAGAAAAGTAGGAAAGACTGCTAAGAATTTTTAATGAAGTATTTTAGAACTGATTTAATAATCTGATATAGTTCTTATTCTACTCACATTATTTTTGGACAATTTTCCGGAAACAGGACTGAATTCATGCCACCTGTTTTAAACATTTTTCCATATAATTTTGGGACCAGTTACACTTTTTTTGTGCTTAATTAGTGCTGAACATTTGTTTTCTATCCAGTTTCACAGTCAAGACCATGTGTGTGCCACACGATACTTAAAATGTGAAATCAAAATCAAAGTGACATCTAGTAGCGTAGCTAAATTAGCAACTCAGAAAATCTTTTTCAGTTTAAATGGGAGATGATGTCACTGATGTGGTGAGATGGTATTTGGTTGGCACTGCTGAAGAGTAAAGAAGGAAAGTGGATACCTAACCTTACTTAGAGGTCATATGAGAAAGCCGCAGCAGAATTGGAAGGGGCTTGTCCTCATTGTGAAGCTCCATATCTGTTAAATTGCTCAGTATCTTATTTGGTGGGTAAGTAAGAGAAGGCTTCTTAGTGTCCACTCCTAAGGTCCGGAATACTCTTGTCTTCCTCTGGCAGGATCAAATCTTTCAGTCAGACAACCTTTACCATCAAAGACAGGTTGTTGCTAAGAGAGGATTGGAACTTCAGGGTGTTGTTTTCTTTTGACTGATTTTAAAATTGTGTTTTCAATTTGTTCTTTATCTTAATTTTATTCATTTACAGTGGTACCTCAACTTAAGAACTTAATCCGTATTGGGACTGCGTTCTTAAATCAAAATGTCCTTAAGTCGAAGCACCATTTCCCATAGGAATGCATTGAAAGCCAGTTAATCTGTATCTGCTGTTTTTTTGTTCTTAAATCAAGGCGCTGTTCTTAAGTCGACACATTAGTTCCCATAGGAACTAATGCAAAGCCAGTTAATCCCTACCTATCACTAGGGGGTGATTTTTTTTAAAAAATTCTTCTTTTGACCTAAGGTGAACTTAGGTCAAAAAAAGGGCAGGAAAGGGGTTCCCCCCCCCTTTTTTTTGGTTCTTAAGTCGAGGCTCCATTCTCAAGCCGAAGCAACTTTTTGCAAATGGAGCTGTTCTTAATTCAAATCGTTCTTATGTAGGGACGTTCTCAAGTTGAGGTACGACTGTAGTTTTATCAAAGATGCTCAAGCATCACTTTTTGGTAAGAAACTGAAGTATAGATTTAAGTAAATAGGGCTTACTTCCAGGTACACATAACTAGGATTGAAAAGCAGGGCTCTTTAAAATTCACAGAATAAAGGTGCATATTAAATAGGCAGGTTCCACTTAAAATATGTCTATTTTTTTCTGAACTCTGGCCTGCATTACCAGTGCTTACATGTTACCAGAAGAGAAACATCTGATCATAATATAGTTGACTTCATGCAGTGTATAGATACGTAAGCAGACATCACTGCATATTACAAGCCTGATCTAGTCATAAAAAGTATTTAAATGCAGTGTTACAGCATTAGTGTAAAGGCAAGTGATAGCTAACTTTTTGCTGAAAGACAATCACACTGTAGTATGTTTTATAGTATAGCATACCAAGGTCTCTTGCTCTCCTCAGGACAACAGTTTTTTGCCTGCCCAGTTCGAAGGGGGCTGGGAGAGAATGCTTTTCTGAAGCTGAGATGCCAGGATTATGTTATCTATCTTAGCATGGAAAACCTGTCCTTTACCACTGTGCTAGAACTCCTCCAATAACCAATTCAGTGGATAACATCAACAAGCAGGAATGAAAGATACATTAAAAACACTGTGTTATGTGTAAGCATTAGCTATTATTTTATCATTTGGCTATGGTTTTGATCAGTCTTTGGGAAAATGTTTTTGCTCTATTTCTATATGTAACTATGTGTTTATGGTTTTGTTCAGTAGTTGTACCTAACAACTAATTAGTTTATCAAGAATATAAGTAACAATTAAAGGAATTCGACATCCAGTAGTATCAAATAGATCTCCATAATATTCCTTTGATTGACAAGGAATTGATTTTTTCCGTAAACTTAGAATTCAATGGTACAAATCTCCACAGAACTTTCAAAAATTTCAAAACACCACCATTGCCTTCACCTACCACATGTTTATCTTCTCCCCTCCACCACAGTTCACATTTAGAAAGAAAATTTATTTAACTTTGATAAATAACAGAACTAAAGTAACTAGAAGTAGTATATCTGTTAAAATGCATTTAATGCGTTCCTGTGAGCTAAAAACTTACCTGTAAGCGAAAATCCTCCATCGGGGTGGCCATTTTCGGTGCCTCTAAAGCAAGGCAACACAGTGGTGGCCATTTTGTTTTTCCGGCAGCCATTTTGAAACTGCCAATCAGCTGTTAAAAAATGGGCGCTTTGCCATGATCGCTTTCCCGCGATCATCGCAAAGCGATTTTTACCCATAGGGGCCATCGCTAAGCGATCGCTCTGGCGATGGCCAAAACCCCATCGCTAAGTGATTTCATCGTTATACGGAGCGATCGCTAAGCGAGGCACCACTGTACTTTGCAACCAACTGAACAGATCAACAGCATACAAACTGATTCCAACATATGAAAGAGAGGGAAAAAGTCCTCAGGAGAGAGGCCAGTCTCTCTGAATTCAAAGGCTGGAAGGAATTATTGGTTAGTGCTAAATAATCAACTTAGCCCAGAAAGGTCCTTCCAAGTCACACAAACTACAGACAGCATGCAAGATTGCAAATAAAACCTTCTAAGTTTCCTAGTGGCACTGCTCTAATAAATAAAAGTACTGAACTGATAGAGCCAAAGCTACAGTGAATACACTGCAGAGATGGCCTGGACATCAAGCATGAAATCCCTTTAATTCATTTTCCCTTTCATTCATTCACAAAGCAGTTATTATTATCTTATATTTCCCACCAGATTTCTCCCATTGACTCCAATATTCTCCCATTTTCCCAATAACTGAGGGAGAAAAATCTTTTTTTCCTCTTGTGGACCTACTAGCTTTGTCTTTCCAGCTTGATCCAGAACTACTCCATTCCTCCCTCCTCCAATTTAAAGTGAAACAAAGATGTTGAAATGACTATGAGAAATAATTCAGGCAGCCACACCCCCAATGCCCCAAGTCATCCTATTTCTAGTATTCTGACCTCCTCTATCAGTCTGTGCTGTGATATTACTGCACCTGCAACAAGCCTCATTAGAAGGAAACAGGACCTCTCCCATCCATTAACTAGCTCCCCTTAATTTTTTATAATTGCACAGTCATGAATATGCACATTGATTTCTTGCTCTTTTTAAACAAATTGATTATATATATGCTCGAATGGGCTGGAAATGCCTAGACCACCCATCATCGTGTATGACTCCTATTAAAAGGAAAGAATTGGTTCTTGTTCTCTTCTTTCTGTCAGTCCTCATAATGATGAGTTGGCTTAGTAACTATACCCAGATGTCTCTCAAGTTGACTCTTTTCTAACAAAGAAACAAAAGTCCGATTGTAATAATCAAGGGCAGTCCAATCTATCAACTAATTGAAATGGGGTTTGGGGAAATAAATTGGCTTATAATGTCATATTCCTATATGTGTGTACAGTACCCATATATAAGTATAAGTGAGTTCAGTGGGGCATACTCCCAACTATTTAAAGAATTTCAATTTTGGTTTCAGAGCAGCAAAGCAGTGGTACTAAGATTTGTGGTTTGCAGTTGATGCCACTTCTATGAGCCAATGCCAGGAAGAAATATTCATCTTTTTCTTTAGATGAATGTATTCATTTTACTCATTTCCATTTCAGGTAAACCATCCATGGTTTTAGGAATCATCCTGTAAATGTTATGACTGATTCGCTGTTTTAGTATAACTGGAACAGCAGCCTCTGCTGAGAGAAACAAAATGGGGTGACTAGAAATTTTATCCAATGTTTCTGCAGACTAATTCAGCTGTTTCAGAACAAGTGGAGTTTGATCCTACTTTGCCACCTTATTTTTGCATCTTTTCTATTTCTCTGAACTGCTCTAAATCTATCCCTTGAACTGACCAGACTAGTTGATTGCCTATGGGTAGGGCTCAAATTATTAGGGTTCTATGGGGGACTGAACTTCATTGTTCATTGTGGATGCTTAGGAGAGTATGGGGTGTAATTTGTCCTAAACTAGAGGCATCAAATGTTGCAGTTTGTGGATTTCATAATGTTTTAATGGTACAGATTCTGCCTCTTCCAGGAACAGGCCAGAATGAACCTTAGAGTCCCTTCCAGCTCTGCATTTCTATAGTTCTATGAAACCACAACTATAGTTTATTTAATTAAAATAACCTTGGTTAGAGATAGAGATAATTTCATCAGTTCATTTAGCCCTTCCCCCTCCCATTGTGTATAAATTTTCATTCCTTTCTAAGATTGGTTATAGCAATAATTAAGTGTTGCTTCTCTATTGGGACTGTGGTTACCTCTAAGAAGAGATGTCTTAAATTATGCTTCATATTATGGGACTGGATCTAAGATCCAATAAAATTAATGAGACAAATCAGGTGCAACTAATTTAAGTCCTATTGATTTCAACAGGCCGCTTAAAGAATAACAGATCTGGATCAAATTCATGGTTTGGAATGAGACCTACTTATTTCTAGC